GTTTGACTTTGTTCTACTTCTTGTGTTTGCATAATGTTGAATTCCAATATTGCATGGTCACTTGCCGCCTGTGGCGTCAACACCTTCTATCATGTCCTCTTTTCAGTGCCATTGTAATTTTGAATGATCACTAAATGAACTGTTGTAAGTTTAGGATTACCTGTATTTGGAAATGAATCTACAACTAAACAAACCCACTTACTAATGAACTCCATATTATTTTTTTTAATTACATCTTGAAAATTAAATCTTGAAATTTATCAGATTACAGGTCCCAGAGCTCTCAGTGTGGTTGGTAGGAACATGAATACATCTTGAAGTCATAGATGGGGAAAGGTCACTGTTACAGGTTAAAATGATCTTTATTTTCATTGATCTCCTACATTTCCAAAACACTCATTCTACAGTAAAGTACTGTAGTAAGAAGCTTCAGGAATTTGAAATGGATGCAATCCCACTTTTATGGCTGAATGAGTTATCCATCAAATGTTGAATGTCTCCTACTGCTGAGTGTATTTTTAGCTATGTTTAAAGTTTTTTAAAAAAATTAAGAAGTAAGGGTTTAATGTGGAAATAGGTCGGGAAAGAATGAACTGGTGTGAATACGAAAAGACCCTTCCTAGAAGGTTTGCCCATAGTTATGAAGAAACATTAGGAAGCCTCACATCACCAATTGCACTCAACTGGACTGAAATAAAACTTGGCCACATCCTGTTAGTGAGACATGAGCAACTGAGGCAGAGAAGCACTTAACCAAGTAGAAGGAGAACTGTGAAAGGAACAAGCAGTTTCCTCAATTCCCCACGCATGGCTCAGCCACTTCCTTGTAACACCCACAAAGAATGTTAGGAATAGCTTCCAGGAAGGGCTTCTCCCAAGCTCATTTGAAAAGCCAGGTTTTCTGACACAATATGGAGACAAGCTTTCAAAAACACTTTAAAAAAATCACTAATAGATTTCAGAACAGACATTGCCTGCAAAACTGGAAGTGGTTTCTCTTTTGCCAGCTTGCAATTTGAAAGTCCTTCTCCATTACACTGCTTCTTGGGTTGTTGTTTTTTTAATCTCATCCAATTTTATTGACTGTTGGTTCTAATAGGTAATAGTTGGCTATGCTGCCAGATCTTTTTTGTTTTTTTGTCTTACTGCTTTCATTGTTGGTATATATACAATATTTCATTGTTTCATTGTTGGTAATTTTTGCTTTCATCCTTGGATTATGAGTTGCCCACAATTTAATTTAAGAAGGGCATGTTAAAATGTAATTTAAGAAGGGGATATTAAAAGTATTGTTTATTATGAGAATAATGCTACAAGGTGGAATTGCAGCTTGATGATTGAACCATGCTTGGCATAATAAATAGTCTGGGTTCAAATCTTAGTATTTCCAGTTTTTGAAGGGCAGATATGAGGGATTGTTGCAGGATGAAATTGACACATGCCTAATATGGCAAGAAGTTAATCATGTTTGCATATTATTCTATATCATATTGTGGATTGTTTGATGTTAGCTGTATGAATTTAACTTGTTTATGGCTTAATCTTCTATGTGATCACAACTTATTGTGGTTCATTGAGACTTGGGTTTACAGGTGCTGAACCATGTTTTAATTATGACTTGTTGAATAGTCACAATTGGGTGAAATACTTTTTTAGAAGGCCAGGTTAGAGTCAATTTCAAACCACATTTCATCATGGAATTGGCACTCATGTGATTTATGCTTAGTATCATCAAGATTTCTTCAAACTTGCAGTTTACATATTGTGCCCGTTGTAGATCTACTCTGATAAATAAAAGTGGTTTATTGCATGGGTTTGCGTGCCAAGGAGAGCAGACTCACTTCCGCAGTTGTATGTTTATCCGGTTCTGATAATTATGAGGTTCAGAATATAAAAAGAACAAATGCTCTTAAAATATATTTTTCGTATCTTAATGTGGTGCTCAGACACAGACTGTTGATTCGTTTTTCTTCAAAATGTATTTCTCAGATTCTTCTTTAGGCAATAGCATCTGGAACTATATGTTAGCCAGGCCAGAGTTTCAGAAATATGTTGCACATATGGCTTGTGGTATTTTTGAAACATTTTTCCTACCCTCCAACCATTTTCAATTTCAGATCAGCTCTGCATTTCTAGAAAGAAATAGCACACCATGGAATAATAAACCCAATAAATCAGTGACCCCACCCCAACCTTTTGGGCACCAGGGACCGGTTCCCTAGAAAATATTTTTTCCATAGACCAAGGGGGACATAGTTTTGCACACTATGTAGATCTGTGCATGTGTAGACACATTTGTGTGGCCAGGTTCCTAATGGGCCATGGGCCAACTCCTAATGCGGTTTGTGGTTCAGGGATTGGAGACCACTGCAATAAATAATTGGCAACATTCTTGAATGAAATATAATGTCTTTGCTGAAGGATGTCAGTTTTGAAAAATCCAATTCCAAACTGGGAGTTTTTGAGACTGATTACGGATGATTAAATCTGCCAATCTGAATTTCTCTATCTAAAAACAGAGTTTGATTTCTCCCAGACTATATTTGTTCACGGAAAATGTGGTTCATTCTATGCCTATATTAAGCAGAAAACTGTATTTTTGTAGCCTTATTTTGAATATTTGTATTTTTGTATACAATATTGCCCGACATGCACTTTTTACCAAACAAAACCCTCTAACAGGATATATTTTAACATTACTTTCATTTGAGGTTGATGCCTCTCTCTATATGTATTTTATATTTTGCAAATTTTTTGAATATTAAATATTTCAGAGATGAAATATTTAAGCTTAGTGCGAAATACAATATTAGATAATACTGTATTGAAAAGCATAGTAAGCAAACTGCACCCCTCCCCCTGTTTAAATGAAGCAGTGTCTGAATTTAATTGTAATCTGAAAATGTTCCTTGTAAACAAAGGGACTATCTAGCAAATGGCATTTTTCAGCTTTTTGTTTCCTTTTTTTCTTCATAAGAGTTTGCCCTAAGAAAAAGTGGAACTCCCGAAAGCTTACAAATAAAAGATTGTGCAGGACTGCATGCTAACTCACTGCTCATTGTCAGGAGTTTGATGCTGACTGGCTGAAAATTGACTGAGCCTTCCATCCTTCCAAGGTGGGTAAATTGAGAACTCAGATTGTTAGGAGCAATAGGCTGACTCTGTAAACCACTTAGAGAGGGCTGTAAAAGCACTAGTTAACAAATTCTAATTAGGATAAAAATCCTGGATGCAGAGAACACATTATAGCCTCTGCCCAAAGATACATGCAGCTTAGAAACATCCTTTTTCTATTTTGAATCACAGAATAAAAATTGGGTGAACTATTCCTAAAAAATATTCCTGAGACGTCATGAAAAATAATAATTTATTTTACAGTTTACACAGGGGGATTATGTAGAGTTAAACATGTGATATTGGAGCCATAATACTGAACAAATAAATAAATCAGATCCACATTGGGTTGCTAAAAGTGGAGATATATCAGTAAAGGCTCATTCACACTTTCAAGTCATCATTTCATGTTGCAATCAAGTAATAAGTATGCTTATGTAAATCAAGCCCACCCTTTTAGGAGCAGATATGTAATATGAAGAACTGAACCTGAGCTTTGATTTTATTTCCTATTTACTGACAATCAAAATTCCACAGGTGAAGTTACATATGCATTGCAAGCAAAATGGCTCTACTTAGAAACAAAAGCTTTGAGCATTGTTGGCTCATCTCTACCAAAACCTGACGTGGTTTTTTTTCTCTCTCTTAATGGCTCCCTAGTTTGCCTTAACTGCACTTATTCTGAAGTCTGATTAAACGTTAGAAAAAAATAACTGGTTTAAGGATTATTGACTTGGCTTCTACAAATAGACTTTGTATTCCCCCCCTGCCATCCCAACAGTTCCCATTGCTGTAAATGGATTTTCATCTGCTCATTCTTCTCTTGGGTTAGTAATCACTAGTTAAATCATTGCTCTTACTCCCTTGACTTAGAGAGTCACTGTCAGAGGCTGCGCTGTTTGAATGAGAGCTGCTGTTACTATCCTCACTTGCTTCAGATTCAGTTTCATTTGAATCCTCCGTTGTATCTGCAGCACTGTCGCTGCTGGACTGGTTTGCTGAATCGCTTTCATTGTCACTGTTGGATTGGCTGTCACTTTCACTGCTGTCTGCTTGATTGTTATCTTCATTCTCACTGCTAGTCTCACTCTCATTCTCACTGCTGCTGCTGCTTTCACTGCTGCTATCAGATTTGTGGTCACTCTCACTGCTACTGCTTTCACTCTCATTGCTGCTGCTTTCACTATCACTGCTGCTACTGTCATTCTCACTGCTGCTACTGCTACTGCTATCACTATCACTTTCACTGCTGCTACTGCTATCACTCTCACTGCTGCTTTTGGATTTACTGTCACTCTCACTGCTACTACTGCTATCACTTTCACTGCTGCTGTCAGATTTACTGTCGGATTCACTGTCAGATTCACTGCTGCTGTCGGATTCATTGTCACTTTCACTGCTGCTCTTGGATTCACTGTCACTCTCACTGCTGCTCTTGGATTCACTGTCGCTCTCACTGGTGCTCTTGGATTCACTATCGCTCTCACTGCTGCTTTTGGATTCATTGTCGCTCTCACTGCTGCTCTTGGATTCACTGTCGCTCTCACTGTTGCTCTTGGATTCACTGTCACTTTCACTGCTGCTTTCAGATTCACTGTCACTTTCACTGCTGCTCTTGGATTCACTGTCACTTTCACTGCTGCTTTCGGATTCACTGTCGCTCTCACTGCTGCTCTTGGATTCACTNCACTCCCGAAGGACTCCGGGCGGCTCACAATAGACAAGGGAAAGGGGGAAAACTAGACAAAGACAACACTTTAAAAACAAAACCACAACATTCACAAAAAAATGAGAGAAAGCAAGGTAAGGCTGCATGAGAGGAAAGGATGGATTGTTGTGTAATAGAGAGGATGAGTGAAATGTAAGCAGTGGAGTGAGCAACGAAGTAAATAGAGCAGGTGACAGACTGTGAATGTGGGAACAAGCAATGGAACAGATAAGTGACAGAGCAAGAGATAGATCAAGAGCAATAGAATGAGACAGAGTGAGCCAAAAAAAGCTCAAGAGAACAGGTGAAGAAGGAAGAAAAAATTATGAATGAGCATAAGAAAAGTAGCTGAAAGTAGACAAGAAAGAATGGGGGATATGAAAAGCTGTCTATGGAGATTTTCAATTATCAGGTCATGGTTGTTCCAAAGGTGCTTTTTCCAAAAGGCAACTGGTCTTCCTTGGGGGTTTTTTTCTCTGAAAACATTTCACCTCTCATCCAAGAAGCCTCTTCAGTTCTAACTGACTGTAGGAGGAATGGAAGGATTTATATTCTTTGCAGTCACTAACACAAAGTTGTTAAGTTTCTGAGAGTTGTTGAGGCCATTGAAAGGACTATGTTGGAGAAATGAGATTGGTTGTGTTGTATCCCTTCCTCTCTGTTGAGGGAGGGCTGTTCAATCCTAATAAGAGGAGGGGAGGGTTGGGGGATTGATTTATGTTAAAACATTGGGGCGGGGGATACAATACCACAAAGATTCCACACCTGTTTACACTCTGATTTTGCATAGGCGTTATAAGGACAATTTCTAAAATAATCTCAGTTTGAAAACAAATATTGAAGTTGATTTACTTACCCAGTGTTCTTTGGAGTTGCTGTGGTGTGCACCTGGGTATCTGGATACCTGAAAATATTAGAAGGGGGAATAAATATTTTTACTGAACATCTATTATGAGCTACTCAGAATCTGGTTTTTAAAAAGGTGGCTGTACAAATGTTATCAATAAATCAATAAACCTCTTAAAAAGGAACTCTTGGCTTAGAGGGGCAAATGTCTTTTCAAGCTTTTGGAAGAATATTTTGAGTCACCTTAAAACATTAAAACATTAAAGATTACTTACAGGTCGAGCCCAGCAGAGACTCCATAATGAGATGAGCAAGACACCAGCTATCTTCATTTTTATTTTACAATGTCTGTAAAAATAAAAGATAGGTACCCAAATCAGCAACGAACTCTGATTGTTGCTTCCTTTTTATTGTGTTGAGATACATCTTAGCTCATTTATAGCAAAAGGCTATTGATAGGATGGCATAAGTAAATTACAAGATAGATTTGATCCATAGGGTGCCAGATTTAGCTTTCCAAGACACAATTTACAGAAACAATGTCTAATTTGATATACCATAGTTACCATAGGAAGACAAGGACTTTTCCTTCCAGATCATTATTTGTAAATTGGGAAAGTTGTCTTTTTTATTTAAAAAAAAAACCCTGATAGAAATAGGCAGAAGGTACAAATGACTATAACAAAGGTATTGAAAATATATCTGTGAGCCAATTTCAATTTGCTCTCATAGACCTAGAAAATACGTATAACTATCAGACTACTAATTGTACTGCCATGATCATGGCAACAAAGGAGAGACCATCATAATGCCTATATGTATATATGTTTATATGTACATGGTCTTTTCATAGTGTATTGAGAGCAATGTTTAATGATTGATTGTATGCATTCTGATGCCATAAATTAGACCTGCCCTTTCCCTCCACAGTACATAAACAACCACAACAATTAAGAATGTTTTTTTAGCTTGAATTTTGCCCAACTAAAATTAATGAATCTACAAGTTTTTTCCTTGTCCAATTAATTGATATCTAGGAATAAATTTTCCTGCTTTTAAAAATTTTGTAGAGAAATAATTCACTATTAATTAAATCTAACTAAATCTTATTCACAAAGGTGAAATTAATTTATATTCAAAATTTATTTGCTTTATTTAACATTTTTAGTTTTTTAGAAACACATAATGCATATTTTAATTATTGATTATTTAAAAATATTTTAAATTTTATTCTATTAGAGCACCTTCCTTTATGGTTCTCATTCTACACTTTTACATGTATATATTTGAAAGATGAAATAATAAAGCTGATATTTAAGATTTATACCTTTACATGTAATAATAATCTACTTATTCTCTAATTTCTTTCACTATCACTACATATCAGGTGTTTTTTGCATTAGTTTTTATTCTTAACAATTTCAGAACAAGATAGAAAAATATTTTTTACCTTTACTTATTCCAATGGCTCAATCCAAAAGTCTTTGTCTTAAGAAAAAATAATTCCCCTACAGCATAAAAAAATTGAATCCTATTTTCAAATCCCAGGAATTAGTATCTCCTATGACAGTGCATGAATTTAAACTCTGCCGCAGTAAAGAGAGGACCAATCAGCTGCCTTGGGAAAGAAGAGTGATGTCATCACTTGTCACCATCCATCTAGTCTGCCTACGCTTCCCTTCTGCCCCCAGAAGGATAGTTTTCCTAAAAATAAGCTGTGGTTCTCAAAATGACTAGACTGTCTTTTTTTTTAATGAACAATCTCACTAAGGGTTCATTTGGAATTCTAAAATTATGGTGTTTCACATGAAGGCAGGTTTATGACTAAACAATTACATTATCACCCTTGTATAGAGCCAGGATGCTCTCATACCTGAAACAAGAATGCTTCCTGCTAAAATAAGTGTTGTACAAACAATTGGTTTGTCTCAAGAACTGCTTTCAATGACATTATTTGAGGGCTAATCATGTCTTCTGGTTTGACAGCCATTAGGTAGGAGGATGCTTGGAATAGCTTTTAAATTAAAAGGCAATTTGCTGGTTTTTCCTTTTGTGGCATTAATGCAATAAAGCTGTATATTTGCTGTAGACAGATTTGGAGAAGGGGGAACTTCAGGTGTGATTTTATCAATATTTCCATTACAGCTGTTTTTGTTGTTGAAGACTCAAACTATTTTGGAAATCTGGCTTTAAGGCTTACTCCAAAAAGTAGCTTGCTTTTTTAATCTCTTTTAATCACAGAGCCAGGTGATGCAGTGGTTAAATGCAGCACTGCAGGCTACTTCAGCTGACTGCAGTTCTGCAGTTCGGCTGTTCAAATATCACCGGCTCAAGGTTGACTCAGCCTTCCATCCTTCCGAGGTGGGTAAAATTAGAACCCGGATTGTTGTTGGGGGCAATAGAGAGGGCTGAAAGCCCTATGAAGCGGTATATAAGTCTAACTGCTATTGCTATTGCTAATCTCAAGGAGACATATTGAATGGCTTTGAATAATACAGGTAGTTCTCTACTTATGACCACAATTGAACCCAAAATCTCTGTTGCTTAGCAAGACAT